TATATAATATATATGCAATATTAGACTAGTAACTTTTAAGCAAAAAATTTCATCTTCTCTTATCAGCTTTTCATTCTGACTGTGGAAAAGACAAAAAAAGTTTCGTCAATTTAAAAGTGGAAAACAATGAAACATATGTAAAAAGCAGTAGGCTTGACTTCTATATGAATCTGTCGTTAAAAAAGAATGCAGTTAAAAAGCACAGATAAATTTTGATGTGTTTCTGCTTCAAACTTTTTTTTTTGGTTCTAGCTAGACGACCGCACGCTTTCGGCATATATGGAAGAACTACGAAAACAATTACGGCGTTTAGAACGATTCCGAGACGTATCATTTGGTCCACATTCCGTTGCTCGTCATCCAAGCGAACCACAGGAATCATGGTTCTTCCGTCGCAGGTCACTACCCAGTTTCAGCGATTCAGGGCACGCTAACTCAATGCATGAGCATCTAAGGTATTCTAACGCACACTAACGTAGCATAAACGGCTGTAATAGGAAGTACCAGTTGCTTAACAGTAACACTGACCTGCTTCTAGTTATTAATAATAATACTGCCAGCAAGGAAAAAACAAAAGAACAGTAATTTATAACAGTAAAGAAAATTAATGCAAGTTAGTTAACGAAAGTCTGATTGAGGCCTTCCTAGATAACCACCTAATTAACTATGCATTCTGCTAAACAAAAAAGACTTGAATGTTAGTTCCAAAAAAACTGCTTAACCAAGACGTAACATTTAACTCTATAAAGCACTACAACATCTCGAAAGGAACCACTATATCGACTTGGTATATATTAGTAATTAATATTATTCACTTCTAACAACTGCGTATATACTGATGAACACGGTAAGTAATGCCCCTGAAAAGAAACACTGTTCTTTGCCGTTACAATAATTACAGATGCACAAATACGTTGTTTTTTGGAACAATTATCACTAAGTAACTTAGATGTCAAAACTAGGAAAAAAAAAAAAGAAAAATTTCAAATAATACCAGGTAGAGGGTTAGGGTTCTACAAAAACCAGTTATTTAACATTTCAAGAAAAAGAAATTAATGTTTAATTAATTCCAAAAAAAAAATTAAACTTTTTAATAGAGTAAATTTTTTTCTTGACCGAATATCATATGTCCAAATTTTAATGGGATACCCCCATCGCACACTGTGTTACTGGCGACTTCAGCAGAATCAAAAGTTAATGAGACTGACTGACACTATATGGAGGAGAAATGAGTGAGTTGTTGCAGAAAAATGCGTTCGGGTCAGTTTGATAAATCACCGCCCCCTCGAAATTTGAATGAGCCAAACGATAATGAAACAAAACATATCATTGCGGGTGGAAAACAACAATTCTACAAGTTGCCGAAAATTCGCTGTAACGACAAAACTTCAGCGGTAAACAAAAATTTCGAGGCAGTATTACTGCCGGTTAATAGGTTCGTATCAGCTTGACCATCTGGGTAGTAGAAAAAAAAAGGAAGAAATTTTCAGCTCATCTCGCATAAAAGCCATTTGATATAAATGACGAAGAAATGAAAAAAACACCGGAACAGCTAACCTGTTTTCACTGTAGTCCATGCAAATTTCTTCATCTTACCTCAAAACAATCTAATAGGGCTATTAAACATTTATCGACCCACTAAATCGGCGCTAACCGGACTTCTTTATCGTAATACCGTTACCCCGCTGATTTATAATAATTTTAGATTGTAGAATTCTCCTATTTTTCTTTTCTCCTCTTTCTTATTTGTTAGCAGCCAAGCTCTGGTCAACAACCTACATCACCAGTTGTCAGTCTGTTAAAGACAACTATGCAAAGAACAAAAAGTTTGTCATCTTCAAAAACTTCACTATAAAGCACCTTATTTAGCACTATTAAAACAACAAAACATATTTGTGTGTCTTCAGTCTATTCGTTTCTTTACACGTTCATTTCCGTGGGTATAAAAATCATCAAACAACGAGCAGTTGTTGCTTTTGAATTATCCATCTACCACTAAGTTTAATAGTACTTTATTGCGAGGTTCCTAGTTCTAGTGCTTTCTGTATAGCTCCTGCATCAACTGTTACACTAGCATTTTCAAAATATAACTCAATACAAAGAACAAAGTAGGTAACGCTTCTAGGGTTAATTAAAAAAATTTCTCTATTACCAACAGATTGTATCTGTGACAGAAATCCAAATTACGACCCTGTTTTTTCAGGAGTGCTTCTAAGCCACGTTCATCGCGATCGACAAGCAAAAAAAGAAATGAACCAATTCGTGTACAAAAATTAAAGCCAGTAGTAAGTGCGGCAAAACCTTCGACATCATTAGAAATTGTCGGTACACCAGTAACATCAGGTGAACGACGAAAACCACGAGAAACCGTAAAAACTATTACTAAGAAATCTCCAAAAACAAAAGTGAGTGCTGAAGAGGTAAAAACAAAAAATACTCTCGAAGCGGCTCAGAAGGAGACTCCTTTTGAATCAAAACCAGAACCACGAATTGTTCCGATCAGTAGTACATTTGTTAAAACTACTCTAGACGAATCAGCGATTAGTGTGTCAACAGGTCCAGTTGATACAAAAAATGTGAATGAAATAAATGAAGAAGAAATATTCAAATCACATGGTGAAGAGACAGAAGCTGTACCAGAAATTAGCACAAAAATAGAAGAACCTGCAACTCAAATTGAACGGGAAGAAAAATTACCGGAAACACCTGAGATACAAAAAGAAGTCCCAAAAGACGAAGGAAATGAGGAGCTTGATTTTAGAAGGATCTCAGAAAGCGAAACTGAAACTGCTTTATTGTCGAACGTACTAGAAGCTAAGTCCCTTCCCGAAGAACCCAGTGGAGAGCATCTAAAGCCAGTTCACGCTGAAGAATTGACTGAAGCTGAAGAAGAGGAACAGAAAAGGCCGCAAGAACCTTCTGATTCAGCAGAAGCCTCTGATAGTGGAAAAGAAGAGAAAGGAACGAAACAGTCTGCAGCTGAACTTTTGCCAACAGAATACCCTCAGGGAGAAGAACATCACATTAATCTAGACACTGCAGTAGCCTCAGCATCGTCAGAAGAATTTACCAAGCAAGAATTATACGCAGGTGGAAGGGAGGATGAAATCGTGCAAAAAGAAAAGAAAATCAGTGAAGAACAAGAAGGAATGTCACCTACGCATAGTATCGATCGGCACGAAATCGCAGAAGAATCTGATGCTATGAAATTGGAGCATTATGCTCCAGTAGAACAGACAGAAGTTAAGGAGGAGTCACCAAAAGATACAATCTCAGAACAAACGGAAGAGTTCCATAAGTCGTCGCAGTCCCCTATCGAAAGTCCATCTGAAGAACTAATCCAGCCCAAATTAGAATCCATTAATAAAGAAGAACGTGACACTGAAGCTGAAAAAAGTAACGAATTTCCAAAGGACAATGAGGCAGAATTACGCGATATTAAGAAAGATGAAAAAATTTTGGAATCACAAGTGGCAAGCGAAAATCTGCTGCAGAGTGAAGTAGAACCTCATCCTATAGACAATGACCTACCGCATATGCTTGTATCGCAGGAAGTGCAGATGCCTGGAGATGATGAAACTCGACCTGACAAAGACGCTGGTATCAGCTCTTTAGGAGCAGAGGAAACCATGTCTGTAGAGAATAAACATTATGTACTAGAAAAAGAAGTCGAAGCATCGATGATTGAAGATGGCAAGCCACTTTCCAAAAGTGAGTGGGATGAAGTACTTTCCAACAAACCAGATTCCTCCATAGGCGGAAGTGACACTGAAAACAAAGGCTCATATCCAAACGTTGAACAGCAAAGACCAAATGAAGGTTATGAGACTTCCCTAAGTGAGCTGTTAACTTATGACTCTAATGAAGCAAAGGTTAGCGTACAGGAAAAAGAATCTCCTACAGTACCCGAAATGACGAAACCGACATCCGAATCTGTAGTAATTCAGTCTTTTCTCGAACAGGAAAGCTCTTTACCTTACACAACAGAGGAAGGTCGTGTCAGCCAAGTGAAGGAAGATGAGACTCCTGCTTCACTAAATAGTGCAGAAATTCAAGAAGTTGCAACGGCTGATCTAGAAAAAAATATTCCCGCTGAGAAACTGAATGTGACGGAAGACGTCGGAAGTGCGCCTGAATCAGTCACCAGCGACGCTGATGATCATCATGACGACCTCTCGCAACATTTAAAGAGTTTAGCCTCTGAAGAAGCTACATCCAAAACACCGGTTTCTACTCCAACGAAAGAGGCACACGGCAGTGACGCAAAAGATGGATCAGCAGTAATTCACAAAGCTATTCACAGACTAGAAAGTGAAAGCGATATTCAGGATAAAAAGGTAGAGCTTTCAGCACCAGATGCTGTAAGTCCCGGTCCGTCAGAAACAGAAATGCTAACCACGGGCCAAGAAGATGTAGAACAGCATAGAGCAAAACGAGATGTTGAAGACGAGACATTAAAAGTAACAGTAGAAAAGTTGGAAAATGAAGACTTAAATGCAGAGACCCTGAACACTCAAGATGAGGAAGAATATGAAAAAGCCGAAGACAGTTCCTTGATACAAGAAAAAACCGTCCGGGAGGACTTCAGAGCACTTGATGCAAAGGGTGATAGTGGAAACACGTCGAGTGATACGGAAGGTGCTGATGCCACAATGTCGGACTATGAAGAGGGAGAGAGAAGCAGTCAACCAGAAGAGGATAAGAAACATGAAGATGAGCCAGCGAACGTAACAACGGAAGAGGAAACCGGAGTCCCTGAGCTTGATTTAAAGCTTAGTAAGCATGAACATTCTGAAGAAGAAATTTTGGGCACATCTGAGAAACACCAAAAAATAGTTGGAGAGAAGGATTACGAAGAAGAATTGCAAGAATCATTGTTAAGCAGAGTGGAAAGGGATAGTGAACCAACAGGTATCCATCCAGATACAGAAGGAGCACTTCTGAGTAACAGTGGCACAGAAGACGACCTAGTGACAAAACATGATGATGTCGAATCTTTATCTGGAGAAGTTACTGGTGAACAAAGAATGAGATCAACGGACTGGCTTAGTGGTGCTTCCGGATCGATGAATAAGGCAGCTCTCGAAGTAGCAGTCACAGAGACGGAGGAAATAAATGGTAATATACCGAAGAAGACTGTTGAAGGAGAAGAGGGAGACCACACAGTCTCATCGGAGGCTCGTGATAGCGACTTAATGGAAACTACAGAGGCCATCGCACAGCTAATAAGAGCTGCAGTAGAATCAGTCCACAAAAAAGAAGAAAATGCAAATATTGCCAAAAATATTGTAGATGACGATGATACTCATAATAATAACGTTGTTCATCAAACTGTTAAAGAGTCGGATAATTTTTTGGAAGAACTGGTTAGTCGTCCTAAAGCAGTTCTTGTAATTGATTATCATCGTTTTTGGTTTTTTTTTAGTCTATTATTATCTGAAAAACCGAATATTGAAGTCGAAGTGGACTCATGCTGCTCTTTGTAGATTTAACATAGTTAACAAGTTTATTTCTAGGCAAATGCAACTTCGCTGAATAAAAAAATTAGTGAACGAAAAGAAGGATCGCTGAATTCGTCAGAAATTGATGATAATATTTCAACAATCGACACTAGCATTATCAACGGTTATTGTTCAACACTTGTTGCCAACGCTTTCTCTTCTATATTTACATTAATTTCCCAGACAAAAGACTTTGAATACTGGAATTTTACAGAACTTGAATCTATTGAACAATCAAATGCATAAATTTTATACAGCCTTCCATGTACATTGTACTTGTTTATGGATAAAGCATTTTCATATAGAAAGTTCTTTTCTTTTTTTTTTTTTGTTATTATATTTTCAGCTATTCAAGTTTTATGCTGGAAGTTGTTGAA